GTAGATGAACGAATGCAACTACAAAAGTTAGCCGGGGCTTGTGAATGGTTTGGTTTTGGGAGCAGGATCATTATAACAACAAGGGATACACAATTACTTAAGAGCCACGGGGTTGAAAGAATATATGAGATGGAGGGATTAAATCATGAAGAATCTCTTGAATTGTTAAGTTGGAATGCCTTCAGAAATATGGAAGTTGATTATCCAAAATACATGGATGTTGCGAATCAGGTGATAAGTTATGCCAGTGGTCTTCCTTTAGCCCTTGAGTTAATAGGCTCTGATTTGTATGGTAAGAATGTAAGTGAGTGGGAATCTATGCTAGATGGATGTAAAAGAATCCCTCATGATAAGATTCAACAAATATTAAAAGTAAGTTATGATGGGTTAAAACAACTTGAAAAAGATGTTTTTCTTGACATTGCTTGCTTCTACAAAGGAAGTGGATTGGAATATGTCAAAAAGATGATAGCAACTGTTCATGATTTTGATTCATATTATCATATTGGAGTGTTGGTAGACAAATGCCTCATGAAGATTGATAGCACCAATTGTATTACAGTTGATTGTATTGAAATGCATGAACTAGTGCAAGATATGGGGAGAGAGATAGTTCGTCTGGAATCACCAAAAGGTCCAGGAAAACGCAGTAGATTATGGTCAAGTAAAGATATCCTACGTGTTTTGGAGAGAAATGAAGTAAGTCTAACACTAATTGGAATTATCTACTTCTTTTCTTATTACAATTAATGAGATTTATATTTATTTGATTTTAATGTAGAAAGATACTGCTTAGAATTCAAAAAAAAAGACCAGGCCGTATGCAAGGAATTTCAATAAGATTAAGGCAAAGCTTGACTTGATTGATTTCTAAAGTTTAATTTATTGTGCTCATTATGTCGTGGTTTTAATTTTAAATGAGGATTTATAGATGTTTTTGTGGTATTTAATATTCTCAATATTTACTTTATGATTTAATATTTAATGGCTAAAACATATAAACGCAAAAAATCATCAGCCTAAAGGATAAGAAATTATGGGGATTTGTGTTATATATTTTGTTATAGAATTCATTTTCTGGTTCAGTAGTATTGCATCATATTTCATTGTGACTACTTTTCTATGATGACAAAAAAATTTCGTTTCTATTTATAGCTTATAAGGGTGAAAATGAATCAAAGTTAGCACCATAATACAGGACAGTCTGTTAGAATCTATAAAGTAAAACTTAGATATTTACGATATTTTTGTCCAATCAAATTGAAAACAATTATTTTATTAATTTTGTAATAAAAACTATCAATGTATTTAAAATTTTCAAAACTACTTGTTTTAATTTAATTGTACAAACTAAATTAGTTGAACTACCTGATTTTTTTTTCTGAGATAAATTGTGACGGAGAAGCTTAATTTTGGTAATTTAAATTTTTGAGAAAACCCCCAAATATCTTTTAACAGTTCTAAGGTGTGAAATGATTTGGATATCCTCTATCTTATCGGTCTTGGTATTTGTTCATAGCTGCTTGTCAGGGCAGCAATTAGGGTGGTTGCCCCTCACATCAATTTTAAAGTACTGAAAGCATATAATTCATCTCAGTGATTGATATATATGCGAAAAGAATATTATTTTTTATATATAAGAAAGAATTAAGAAAAATCGCACGGCTCAATCATCAATTTGCATTGTTTGCTATCTGCTTCATCATTTTGATTTTGATTTCGATTTTTTTTTTCATCGTTTTGTTTTATGATATGTTTATCACTATTTATTACTCATATAACTATAGCATGGCAACCCTTAACATTTCTGGAGCTTCGAATATGTAATTTTTTTTTTCTATGCACTATTATACATATATGAAAGAGCTAATGTTTTGTTATTTTCTTTTATTTTTGGTTTAAAAGGACACAGATGAAGTTATTATCATAATTCAAGTTGAAAGGTCTAAATGCATAGAAGTAGAATGGAATGGAAAAGCCTTCAAGGGTATGAACAATCTCAAAATTCTTATTCTTGAGAATACAAAATTTTCACAAGGTCCCAAATATCTCCCCAATAGTTTAACGGTGTTGAGATGGAGAGGATATCCTTCATCAAGTTTGCCACGTGGTTTTTGTCCAAAGGATCTTGTTGAATTCAATGTGAGAGATAGTTGTTTCAATTCAATGGAAATCAGTAAGGCAAGTAAAGCAACCCTAATATTATATGTATTTATTTGGTTTGCTAGCTTGTATTTGATCATTTGTTTAATTAGACTTTACATATGGTTTTGGTTATTGCAGATAATGCAGAATGTGAAAGTTTTAAACTTTGAAGGGTGCGAGTATATCAGGCACATACCTAATTTATCTGACCTCTCAAGTTTAAAGGAGTTACGGCTTCGTAATTGCAAAAATTTGATTGAAATTGATAATTTGGTTGGGCAATTAGCAAAACTTGAAACTTTGAATGTACGTAATTGTACCCAGCTTACGAATTTTCCAATGAATTGAATACACCCTCTCTTCGTGATTTGAATCTTAAGAATTGCTCAAGTTTGAATTACTTTCCGGAAATAGTAACTCGTGAAATGAAAATATCAGAGTTGAAATTGGTTGGAACTGGTATAAATCAGCTGCCTTCATCAGTTGCAAATCTTACTCAACTCATACACATAACACAGATTGGAAATGACACTGCGGGCAAGGGAATTAGGTCAATGAAGCTACCAAGTAGCACTTTTTCGTTGCCAAAACTTGGAAGTATATATGTTGAAGGATGCGAAGAGTTGCTTATGGAAGTAGAGTCAATAATATGTCCAAGCATATGGAATCTTCAACTACAAAGATGTAATTTATCCAATGAGAGCCTTCATATTTATCTTACTTCATTCCCCAATGTTAGGTTTTTGGACTTGAGCGGCAGTAATTTCACAATTTTGCCCGCGTGCATAGAAGATAGTCAAAATTTGAGTCAACTTAAGCTAGATGAATGCAAGCATCTAATAGAAGTGGAAAAGGTTTCGCCTAGCATACGAGATTTGACGGCAGGAGACTGTGTATCATTGAGTTCACAGTCCAAAAATTTATTGTTGAGTAAGGTCAATTTCTGTCTCTGCTTTTCTGATATTCATACCCAAAAAGTTCTACATATATATATATATATAACTTCATTTCTGTGACTCACAGGAATTACTTGCATCTGTAGTACCCATCAACATTGAACTTCAAGATTTTCTTGATGACCATTTTAGAGAATATTTTTGTGCGCCAGGAGGAAGCATCCCAGAATGGTTTGATCATTGTAACAAAGGACCATCCATTTCTTTTTGGTTTCGTGACCACCCTCCATCTCTTTGTGTTTGTGCTATTGCTCAACCAATGGGGAATCACGATTGGGTCCAAACAGAAGTGTTCAAAAATGATGAAATGGCATATGAATGTTACCTGGGGGGCTTGACTACAGGATATGATGTCGATCATATAATTATGCATTATATATGGAATTTCCAAATAGATGGCGAAATTAAAGAAAATCAATGGAATCATGTAAATATTTGTCCACTTTTAGAGTTTGGAGATGCCGTAAAAGAGAGCGGAATCTATGTACTCAGAGATGAATGGACCAATATGGAAAATATCCAATTCACTGATCCTTTTTAAAGTTTGGATTTTTGGAGAAGTGACCAAGGTAAAGTATGATCGCCATTCTTTTTAAATTAATGTAATTTAATTAGATGCATGCAAATTCTGAAATTTTCAATAGAATCATTACGAGCACATGTATGAATATATATGAATGAATGAATATTCTCTGTGTGCGGGTTAATTCCTTTAACGTTTCTCTTTTTTTTTTTAATAATAATAATAATAATAAATATCTGTTTTCTTTTCACTTAGAGATGACATAGCAAGTTCATGATTTTTGGATTTGTTTAACATCATCAAGCTAAGTCATATAGCATTTCACTTCTAGCTAGTGAACTATGTTTCAATTTATTACGTTCAGATTTCAATTGCAATTTAGATGCCAAAAAAAATAAAAAAAGGAAAAGAAACTGTCTGATGAAGAAGCATGAAAACAATGTAAACTCAACTCAAACACATTCTCCCAATGCTAATAATCTTCATGACTCTATCATTCATATCCATGCGTATATGTGTGAGTAGCATCAATAATGTATAATATTTTAGGGATTATTATTATTATTATTATTATTATTATTATTATTATTATTATTATTATTATTATTATTATTATTATTATTATTATTATTATTATAACTTAGGTATGAGGTATATGAATAAAATTAACAATATAATGCTTGCAAAGTGCTCTACTACTTACTAAGGTACTTTGCATTAACTAATGGCTACTTTAATATTATATTGCAGGATGTGCTATAGAAGGTGACACTGCTACAAATAACCCTTTCTTCCCTTCCCAAAGTGAGCAGCAACACACACACTCACATACTGTTAGGGACATTGACTCGTTAAGAATACTATCTGTAAAGTGTAGGAGAATTATATTTCCCATCACAATTCATATGGATAGTGGGATGATGGGTTCTCAATTAGAATATGATTTCTATATTACTGAGCAAGATGTCAGGAAATTCCTAAGCATGCAAGAGCTGTCCATAACCATTATCCAACTCTTTGTGAGGTATGTAACTTTGTTCTCATTTCTAGACTGAACATATGTATGTATTTAGCTCTCTCAGACAACTCACATATTGGCACGCAATTTCATAGGTTTTGCTACGACCTTTGCTCCTTTAGAGGAATTGTTGGCAGATTTGGATTTTTGTGTCCAAATGCTATTCAAGGTGTAGGGCATACACAAGAAGATAAGATATCTTACATAGGAAGCACTATCAAGAAAGGCAATAAGCAATGTTGGCTTGCACCGATTCGTGAAGGGTGAGAAGTTTTCACTATTAATATGTAAATAATCAATTACAACAAACTTTCACGAAAACAGTGTGATATTCTAATCATTAACTGATATATTATAGGAACCATTGGACATTATGTGCTGTTTGCCCGGGCTCGAATATCATTCATTGGTTTGATTCACTTGGAGGCAAACAAAGTGATGATATTGAGAAATTATTCACCGAGTAAGTATATGTTTTTGTAAAACTTTGGTTTGCAACATTATAGATCAATGATCTAATTTATGTAATATTTAATAATAGAGCCCTTGTGACGTACCAAATCATTGGAGGAAAGAACATAAAATGGCTATACCCAAATGTAAGTAGCTAGTTTGAACCTTAATACAGGTAGTTTAAATGGCTATGTCATTCCTATGTTTTTTAAATTCCAGCTACTCTTATTTCTTGATTTGTAGTATCGTCGTCAACTTGAAGATAAAGAAGGTGGATATTACATCATGAGATATATGTATGACATCATTGATCTTAACGAAGTTGACTCATTGGACATGGTAATTATATATTCCCCAAAACCTAGTCCTCTTATGGTAACTGATGTTTATGAGCCATTAATGTTATGATGTGTTTCAATCTTGTAGCATTTCAATAATCCACAATGTTACTCCCAGGAAGACATTAGCTTCATTCGTAACAGGTGGTCAGCCTATTGTTTGATGTCCAAGTGGGGGTGGAGGAGACCAAAAAAGACGAGAGTTTTGAAGAGGCTATTATTTAATTTGGACGTACTTGATTAGGAGAAATTAATTAGTAAATAATGCATAATAGAGTGGGTGATGACATTTGCATTTTAAAACATGATTATGTATGAGTTGGTTTTAAATGATAGTTTATACTACCTCTGGTTCTAATTATAAGGCCTTATTTATAGACTATAAACAAAGTCTTTAATTAGGATCAGAGGTAGTATATCTCTAGCCAAAAAACAAATAAATAAATGATAGTTTATATGTCATTGATGTTGTAACAGCGTGAGATGTGGCTTGAGCTCAAACACATTTCATATGGGAAAAAAAAATTGTGTATGGAAATGTTTGTTTTGACGTTAATATTCTTTTTTGTAATTGCATAAGATATGGTCTTATGTTTTGGGGAAATCATTTAGTTTCAACAAGGGCAAATCCCCCTTTATATTCCCTAATCCCTCGTACCTCCATATTTGCATATGGACAGGAAGGGACGCTGTCTATTTCGTTACTCTTCTCATTTTGAGTTCTACGTTTCTATTTTGAAGAAAATTTATGTACTTTGCTTTATATACATAACGTGCCATTGTCAATTAAATATAAGACATGAGAATTTTGCATATATCCTTTATTCTAAAACAATCTCTTATTATTAGCATCATTAATGTTTTAATGTGGAAGTCTTTTTCTTTTATTGTTTTGGTTCTTCATATCATCACGTTTGCTGTCTTTTGTGTCCAAATATTTCACCTTCTTTTTGTAGATATATTTTTCATATCTGTTACTTTTTTTATTCAATCTCTGCATTATATTCATTTTTTCTTTTATTGTCATCTTATGTTGTTAATAGTATTTTCTACAAAGGCAAATACAAATTTCTTTGGGGAAAATGACAAAAAAAGACCGTCAAAATAGAAAAAGTATATTGTAGAGAGGAACCGGGTTATAAAAATTGTTATGAAAACTTATAATATTGTTGTCAAAACCAATACTAATGTTGTCATGGATCCTTATTTGCAATTTTTCTACTTTAGTAGTCTTTTTTTTGCCATTTTCCTAATTTTTTTTTCATTTGCTTAGAATTAAAATATTCTTACTGTTTTAATTATACTAATGTGTTCAAACCATAATTTAAATATTTCTGTTAATTAATATTGATATTTTCTTCTTTAACAAAAGTCGAGTGATATTTAATATTACCTCATATTATAAATAAAAAATTCACTTTATGTGCAATCTACTTTAATTTATATTGCAAAGTAAATTTTATATTTTAGACCGGAGGTATATTAAATAATATACTTGTCTTGTTTTTGCATGGGAGAACTAGTTTCCAGTTTTACATAAGTGACATTACTATAAAGTTCCATGAGTTGTCAATATTGATTTAATGTTTTTTTTAAAAAAATCGAATTTTAATCGTAGTCTTTTTCAAATTATCAACACATAATAACATATATAAATAGATATTAACATATTTTTATTAAATTAATAGATATATGGTTTCACTTGTATTTTTCAAATTGTTGAAAAATTATACTAGCAGTCTTGCATATAAGAGCTCCTTCAAAATTTAATTTAACTTTAAATATAAGAACACAATTCATTTTGTCTTCCACATTTATTCTCTTTTCTCAAAGTAGTTTCCATAGTGATTACACATGTTAAAGGTTTTCATTCTAATTTCTAATGCAGATCATCAATAAAAATATTTTAGTAAAGACAACACTAGTTTATGATAAATAACTAATTTAACTAATTTTTTAATAATTATAAATTAGTTATTTAACTCTTACATTAATTAAGATCAGCGCACTATATAACTAGGTATAATTTATTACTATTGATAGCCCCCATATTATAAAATTATTGGATATTTTAAGAAAGACAACACTAATTTATGACAAATAACTAACTTAACTAATTTTTTTAATAATCACAGATTAATTATCTAACTCCTATGTTAATTAGAATCAACACACTATATATAACTAGGTATAATTTATTGCTATTTGATAACCCTCATATTATAAAATTATTTGTTATGCGTGTTAAAATGAAAGGAAATTCTTAGGTACTCCAGAGGACCACATCATTTAAACTCTGGCCAATCAAATTTCTCCATTTCAGATCCGCTTCATCCTACATGGCATGCATTTTCTCTCCAACTTAGAGCACGTTTGGTGGACGTAAAATGCAACTATGCAAGGCAGAAGCAATTCGCAGAAGCCTACTCTTTGCCGATGGAAACTTGTCCTCATCAATATATTCTCCCGCCTGTCCATCGACAACCAACGGCGCAGCGCCATGTTTGTCTGCAAGTTCTGACTTTGCACCTTCAAGGAGTCCTTCTTGCACGTGTTTTCAACCTCGAGACCCACCTCAATTTCCCTCGGCCCACTGGTGGACCTGAGTATGACAGGAAGATCGATTCCATGCCTTGATCAGTCACCGGCTAGAGCCCTGGGTCTGTTGAATAAATTCACCTTCGAAATTGCTCTGATCTGTCGCTTGCTCTTGTCGCTAAAAGGTAAAATCCTAATAGCAAATTTCAACATCTATCTGTTTCATAGGAGTTGCAAAAGTTGAAATTGAAGAAACAAAATCGATTCAACGGTAACATCTAAATTGGTTTTGCTTTCCCTACTTGAATTTGGTTTCTAACATTCCTTCTTTGGATTGTTCTAAGCGAGATCCCAATTTTTAAATGTTGAAATAATATGAGTGTGCCCTGGTTTTTCTTATAAATTGCCACTGAAAGGTGAGTTTAAAGAAACATTTTTGATTATGTAAGAAGAGAACATCATGAATTGGGTTGATCCTTCTCAATGCAAGGGAGTTGTTCCTAATGGATATCTAAATGCTTGTCCACAAGATGAGCCCTCCTATTTGTTGGCATGTGAAATGCTTCATAATAATTTCTGCAGCAACTCTTCTCCTTTTGGGACTGAAGTTCAGCACCTGCATCTATAGTCTTTTATGCTTCTTGTCAAAATAGTGACCCTTGTCCATGGACAATTTTCTCTTGTTCACTTCTAAAGTGGTAAAGTGGGCTTATCTCATGCATTGCTTCTTATGTTCTCCTATTTTATCAAAGTACTCCTATATGGAGCTTCCTTTTCATTTGAGATTAAGAGCATGGTTATATCACAATTGTGTTTCCTCCGTTGGTATCATATTGTCGTTTTGCCTCTTTTACTTTCTTTTTGTGTTTTTGATCGAAGTGTACCTTTACGGAGTTGCTACTTGTTACAATACCCTGTTTATTTTGCTTATGAGGATGACAACATTCATGCTGTGCTTGCTAATATAAAGGAAAATGATACCACTGGCCAACCTGCTACTGCAACTAACGGTGGGTGAGTATAAACATGTGAATATAGCTTCATTGTTTGAATAAATTGCTGATAGTATTATTGCCCCTGTCCTCTCAATACTATCTGTTACTTTGTTGGATAATGTTTCAATTTATTGATTTTGGATTTGCCTTTTTCTCTTTGCCTTTTGTTTTGATTCTACTGGCCTCATTTATCTCAAGTTTTGTTTCAGCTCCAAAGCCAAAAAAAATTGCATGTCTCACAATTACAAATGAATTGGTTCTGTGTGTTGTGAATTGTGATTTGAAGGAAGAGAATGAGTTAGAGCAATGTGGCATGAGAATGAAGACAACGCATGGAATGAAGGATTAGAAGCAAGAGGATGAAGCATCATACAATATAAATTGATTGATTTTCCTTTTTATGCATTCTAGGAGGAAGTGAATGGATGCTAATTCATGGTGATGCCATTCTGCAAAAGTGATTACATGGTTATCAATAGAAATATATTTTACAATCAGTGTCTATATAGACGCAATTATGTCAGTTTCTGCCACAATCAATAACATATAAAGCCTTTCTTATTGGTTAATATCAATGTGTCCAGGGGCAATAAGCAACAAGAGGTATACTACAGATATTCCACTAGGGACAAAATTGAATTTAGATTGGTGGTATTACTTCTATCTTTACTAACTTAAAATAACCAACCTTTCATCAAGAAACTTAAAATAATCAACATTCCGAAATTGAAGATTATCTTTAAGTACCCTTTCATTAAGAATCTTGAAATAATCAACCAAAAAATAATCAGCCAACCTGAGTAAAATCATTTAATCAAAACAGGAAAATACAAGGCAGTCATTTTGATGATGAAGTATAAAGGAAAACAAATTTGCAATTACCTACATTTCTGATCTATCCCTTGCTAATATAAGCAAACAACCAAAAGCCTTACAATACTTCCCATCTATGCACAAATATCTTAAAATAGAAGCAATCTTTACTTCCTATCTACATGCAAAATATCTGAAAATAAAAGCAATCCAAGGAAGGGATGCTTGAGAGCTGCCATGAACAAAGACGACGGCTTGCTAGAAAAGGTGCTTGAACTTCTTC